GTAATTACAACTCTCTATTTGGGGCTTTGCAGTGATGCTGCGGCGATAAGGGGGAATATAATGAGGAAGAAAGGCCAGCGATAATGTATCCGCTAAATGGTTCAAAATAGTCTATCATGGGAAAAGTCATCTCGGTGCCTGGAGGTAAACAAGTATCTGTGGATTTGAACCACAGGACTCTGAGACAGAGAATATGTGGAAGGTTTAAGCTAAACATACACCCTGTGGGGGGTAGCGGCAGTCAGAGTTCAAAAATCTGACTTTTCACAAAGGGTAGGGTAGGCCGTTTTTTTTTTTTTTTTTTTTTAATGATCCAGGAAGTCGTTTGATTGCCGCTGCTGTTTTGTTTGCCCCTGAGGGTGCAGAGATATTCTGCAGTGTGAGATTACATATAATACTTTGACAAGCGGCGGTTTAAAGATGAAGGTCTTATCAACCTCACGGACTCCACTTCCCTTCTGTGTAGCCATTCTCCTTCCATAATGTGCTTTCAAAGTTTGTTGTATCTGTCAGTTCAGGTCCTCCAAGATTGAACTGACAATCACTCCTCTCTCCTCCCTCTTCACCATCATTCAAGCATACACATGCACGCACACACGCACACACACACACACACACACACACACACACACACACACACGCAAGCACACAATCCTCAGGGCCATTTGCCTGTTCCAGTCCCTAGTCTTTAATACACACTCCAGTGTGTTCTATCTTGTATGGCTGTTTTATTGTGAATTACAGATTCCCTCACTAGGGATCATGACCACTATCAATAGTATTTTCACTAATGTGATTAAGTTAATACTGTGCTCTATGAGAGGATTATTTCTCAATTCCTCTTGATATGCGTAATATTTAGGTTGTGGTTGAGTAAATATTTTGGTTCTTCACCAAAATAATTCCCACTGAGACAAAGACGCGAAAGTCTGCCCTAAGGAGCAATAAAGACTGTATAATTAGAATGATTAAAGAACTGCACAACTAATTTGGCACTTATTGAATATATTTAGAGAACACAACGTTCAAAATAGGTCACATATTTAAACCACAAAAAATATTAACTTTATTCACATTAATTATGTATTTATTCAGACATTCTGCGTGACTCATTTGAAGTGATGCTGAAGTCGGCATTGTCTCTTTACCAATCCGATCATTATACTGCCTTGCACTTAAGCATATTTTCTCCGTATTGTAAAAGCTGTAAAGAAACCTCATTAGATGGAATGACTTCTAATCTAAATGCAATCATCTTTAAATAGTAATCAATTGAATCCCTTACAACACTAAACTGTTTGTCATTAGCACTTTATCAAAGGCTCACTTAAGATAAGATTCTGCAGCTAATGGCGTGTGATGGTGACAAATTGACTTTCAATGCTCTCCACATACATCAGGCAGTGAACACTTTTGTCCTTCAGTGTATGTTACATGTTTGCTTTGCTGGGAAATGTATTTACAGTTTTTTTTTTTTTTTTTTAGATTTGTTTCCTTGTGTCTTTGATATGAATACCTTTGTCTTAATCTTCCGCAATTGGAATTTAATTCAGCCAGTGATTTGTAAAAAAAAAAAAAAAAAAAGGCAACATGATGAAAAGAGTTAACTGAAAATGTAAAGTAATTATGTTTGACACTATATTATATTCCTCCCCACATAAATCTCCAGTATTACAATATCAGTCATGCTTTTAAATATGTTTTAAGCTAAATTAATGAAATGTTTTGGTCCACGTTTGTGCTGCTTATCTGCTGAATAAATCCTTAATCAGAAAATCGGCTGTAAAAAGTGGAGCGTTTGGCATGAGCATGTAGGGATTAATGAAAAAAAAAGAAGAAAAAAAAAAAGAAAATCATCAGATGAAAATGAGAGGACTACCTTTTTACTGCTTCTGTCTTGGCCCCGGCCTGCGTGAGAAGCAGCTGAGCTGAGAAAGGAAAAAAAAAAAAAACAGTGGGGGAAGATCCAGGCAGAGCTGTGATCAGACAAGCTGAAAGAAAACCACATCAGGTACACAATCAGGAACCCCTCCCTCCTCCTTTTCTTCAGACCTCCTCGATAATGAGCAAACTTTCATGTGGCAGTAAATACTCTCCACTCTGTGGGGTTTGAAGTGGCAAACAGAAGATATTGTTGTTTACCCTGCTCACTTTTTTTTTTTTCCCACCAGTCAAAGAAAAGCCATCTGATAGCAAGAGGTCAACTTGTGTTCCCTTGAAATCAATTTATTTTAAGCCTTGATTCCCCTCCCTCCTTCTCCAGTGGGAGAATAACAGTAAACACCTTGAAAAGAAAGAGGAGGTAAAGTACACATCACTACAATATTCTTTATAGATGAGGGCTTTTATGCAAACTGGGATTATCCAGGGATCCTCATCAACTCTCTCTATAATTTGCTTTGCTTTATCCCAGAGTTATGTGGAGTGTTGAGCAGAATAAACTGTTTGGTGCTATCATGAAGATTCTTGCACCTCCAGGGGCTCCTATTTCAGAGTGATGGCTTTAGCACTTTGGAGTGAACTGTGTGCGATCTCTCCGGGTAGGAAAATGTCCCCATGGGCTTGTTGTTGCTGCTGTCTGCCTTCTATTTGCATGATATTTTTCTATTCAGTCTTATCGTCAGTGTGCTGTGAGGTGGGAGTGCTGGCTCCGTCTCAGAGGCTGGACTCGGGCTTTATCGGCAGGTAATTCTCCCACTCTCACTAACTCATCTTGAATTATTTAAGTGTTATTTCCAGGACCCAGGCAGAAGTAAAAGAAGGGGGAGTGGGGGGGGGGGCACAAACTGGAGTGTTGTCAGTGTTTTTTTTTTTAATCTGATCTCAATTAAATTACCAAATTGAATAAATTAATGTTTTCTCAGTCTGCAAAAATAATAAGCTGTTTTGTGAAATAGATACAACAAATCTTGACATTATGATGAGTAGAAAACATACTGCATGGCTGCACCTGCTCCTGTTATTGCAGGCTCAACTAGGCCCAGGCATCATCTAAAACCCTCCAACACATGTTCCTGAAGAAAACAGAGGCCGTGCCTCAGGAGCAGGACAGTGAGGGCAGGTGTGTCTTTACACTGCCAGACAATATTAAACTAAATAATAAAATGACATAAAACTGCTGGGGGTGTAATGACAAATTATGAAATCTCCAAAGAGGCCACGTGTAGAGCATGCACACTGAATTGCACACCTCTATGACTGTCAACTCCCGATAAGAACTTTCCACCGTAACTTATTCATATAATTCATAGCAATATATTTTTTTTCTTCTTTTTTTTTTTTGCCCGTTTGTGTCATGAGAGGAGGATGCTCCTGCGGAGTGAGTGGAGCGCTTCATTGCAGGAATGTTATCGAGGTGAATGACAAGCCGACAAAAAAAAAAAAAAAAAACAGAAAAGGGCACGCACGGTGTTGAGAGATGCTGCGACTGAGTTCAGGTTGCAGGTTTGTCTCTCAGCTGGTCCTTTTTTTTTTGGCGCGGATCATCCTCACCTTGTCAGGTTTTCCTACTTGAGACAAAGGAACGATCTCTCAGTGAGCTTTGATTTTTTTTTTTTTCTATGTCCCCGTTGCAATAAAACATCCCTAATCCTTGTTAACACCAAATATCAAACAATCTCAATAAAGGCGCTGTCTCTTGTAAATTGCTCATCACTGTGCGATAGGTCAGCGTCATCACTCCACTTTCACCCTGTTTAAAGTAATGATTTGTCCGATATTTTATGTAATAATAATAATAAAAATAATAATACAATTCCACATTATATAGTATTGTGTAAACTGTAAACCTTAGATTAGACTTAAACCGTTAAAAAACTGCAACAGCACATGAATTGAATTTGACATCCATTCATATCGACCCACAGCCTAATTCGTCATTTATAATATTGTTCGATACCGCCCTGCTCTATTTCCTTTTTTTTGTACATATATAATTATGTACAACGGGGAAGGTGCGAGAACAAACCACTTAAACCTACAATTTACTCAACAAGTCCTGCAGATAACTGTAATTGCTTAGTTGAATATTCGACAACCTAATTTCAGTTGTCGATTCGCTGCCCTTGGGAAAGTCCTTTGAAGTGAAAGTGAAAAGGGGGATTTCAGGAAAGTAATTAATTTCACCAGGCGCGATTAGAAACACTTCAGACCTCCTCAGCATTTGCGTATTTACGACAAAATGCCACAATATCAGAAAATTAAAGAAGACATTCATTTACCTTTCTTGTCGTCTTACACACTTACTTCTCAATGGCAGTGCCACCCATGGGGAAGGGGAAGGGGAAGGGGCAGGGCGCAGAGACGCCACAGACATGAAAGGTGAGAGAGTGGAGTGACACCAGCGGATTCAAGCTGGCTCGATTGTCAATTAAACAAATGAAACAGAGAGGAAGAGGCGATTAGGCGTGTAATGACAAATGTTTCAAAAAAAAGAGAAAAAAAGAAGAGAAAGAAAAAGAAAGTGCGAGCATGTGCCTGTTTTTCAAGTGTTTGCTCAGATTCAAAGCACTTCGAGACTCATCCTGAACAATATGCACCTGTCTGCTGCAGTCACTTCCACAAAGTCTGTCAGTGTGTTAGTCAGGGGCTCAGACGTGTTGCTGCCATCCCTCCTCGCGTGTTTCAGGTGCATCCGTCGCCTCAGTGAAGAAGTTAATGACTTCAATAGAACTAAATAATCCCGATTTGACAAGTTACTCATCAGAATGAAAATAATTCAGAACATGAAACTAATGAGGTCAAGTAACAGCGAGGTCACCGCTTTGACTTTAAACATTGATAATAAATAAAGACATATAAAAGGCTACGAGATGCGTTTCCCTTTCAAACTCAGGGTGGCATTTAAAAAAAAAAAAAAAAGAAAAAAAAATCGCTCAGCGCTCGGATGCGTATTGAGCGATGCTGCGCATGCGCCAGCGGCACTTTCACTACCTGCCACACAGTCCTGTATTTCACATGGGGCAAGCGGGAGTTATCATCCACTTGCGTAAATGCTGCTGCTGCTGAGTGGTGGTTGACAGTCGCAGGCGACAACACGGCGTGTTTTTTCCTCCCCTCTCTCTCGTGCTTGCTAAGGGCGTTATCACTGATGGATGCCACCATGAAGCAGAAAACAGAAGTTGAGCACTCATAAGGACGCAGCCACTTGTACTTTTCAGAAGATAATCGCGACGGTGGGATGAAGAATTGAAGTCTAATGTAAGTAAGGCAAAGCATGAGCTGTGGTTGTCGTGGGTGCAGACTGAATTTAAATGAGTATCGAAACTTTCTAAAGGAGTCTTGTTTGTGATTTTGTGCTGTTTTTGAAAGGTGTTTATTCTTTGGGTTGTTTTTTGAAATGCGTTTTTTTCCCCCTCCCTCCAGAGTGCGTTTGTGCCAACATGTCTAAACCAATGGATCACGTAAAACGCCCGATGAATGCTTTCATGGTTTGGTCCAGAGCCCAGCGCAGAAAAATGGCTCAGGAGAACCCAAAAATGCACAACTCCGAGATCAGCAAGAGGCTGGGAGCGGAGTGGAAACTTCTCACCGAGTCTGAGAAAAGGCCATTCATCGACGAAGCCAAGCGACTGCGAGCGATGCACATGAAGGAACACCCAGACTATAAATACAGACCGAGGCGGAAGCCCAAGACTCTGATGAAAAAAGATAAGTTTTCTTTCCCGGTGCCCTACAATCTCGGGGAGCACGACGCACTCAAAGTTAACGGGCTTTCCGCTGGAGCACTTTCCGACTCCGTCATTGGGAACCCAGATAAGGCAGCGGCGGCCGCGGCGGCCGCAGCGGCGAGGGTATTCTTCAACCCGTCCATGTCCACGAACCCCTATTCCTTTTTCGACCTGGGATCCAAGATGACCGAGCTTTCCCCACCTTCATTTCCGTACGCGTCTCCGTTGGGCTACCCGCCGGGAGGCGCCACGGCTTTCACCGGGACTGGCAGTGTAGGTGGCGGGACGCACACCCACACTCACTCACATCCGTCCCCTGGAAACCCGGGCTACATGATCCCTTGTAACTGTACGGCCTGGCCCTCAGCAGGACTCCAGCCCCCCTTAGCATACATTCTGCTCCCCGGGATGGGAAAACCTCAACTTGAACCGTACCCTGCATATGCTGCGGCGTTATGATAGGCCCACTCTGGACTTCTAAGAAAATGAAATGTGAACACAAGACAAAAAAAAAGAAAAGCTATCCATGCAAGAGTTTTATTATGCATGCACAAACTTGTACATGTGATGAAGTGCTCGTCGTCTCAGATATCACATGTGTATGTATATTGATTAATGCCTTTATCTAAGGTAATGCTTATTTAGAGAACTCTCTAATCTATTATTACCCAGCCATCACCTCTCAGCCCAGAGGAAGAAGGACTAAAGGATGGCAGACACGCACACATTTGAGAGGAAAGGGTATCAGAACAGTTTGTGAAAACTCATTTTGAAAGGTACCCTGTTCGATTCCTATCTTTTTTTTTTCTTTTTCTTTTTCTTTTTTTTTTTGCAAGTTGCACCTGCTTGACTAACCTGTTGGAATCAATGGCGGCAGATACAATGACCACATTCAGATCGCAGGATCACAGCATTTCCTCTCAGATAGCCTAACATGTTGTAGGGTTCTAATTCATGGATCAAGGAGGATTGTCACAACATCCAGCCCCCCCACCACTACCACCCCCCTCTCTCTTGAATGACTGTAAATGTGTACAGATAAAATGACTCTAGTTTATTTGCCGTTATAGGCTTAGTGTTTGAGATAGGGCCAGGAACCTACGTATTTCACTAGAAATCCGGTGTATATTTTGAGTTTTTAAACCGTTTTATAGATGTCTGTAATATTTATTGTTTAGTGGAATCTATGGTGAGCCAGACGATTTTAAAAAGGACAAGACTAGTTCTGTAATATTTGCACATGAAACGTAGAGGATGTAATTTATTTTGAATTTCAGTGCATTGCAACAGACCGTTTTTTTCTAATCAGTAAAAAAAAAAAAAAAAAAAAAAAAAGTTCAAATTTAAAAGCAAATGGAAGTTTATTCAAGGAGTTTATCATTTCCTTGATCCCTCACCCTCCCACTCCTCGTATCATGTGCAGCAGAAAAAAAACGTTTTTAACTAACTCTTATGGAATTTGTATGTTTTTTGTGTTTTCTTTAACCTCCGTTATGTACTTCAACCTATTGCTACTGTTCACTTGTTGAGCAAAGGACTACAATAAAGCGTATTCGGATTAAACGGAAGGGAATCGCGGCTGTAAGTTCTTGATGAGATGAACAAGATTGTTATCTTTTCTTTTCCTGCTCCTGCCTCCTCAGTCCAGGTGAAGTGTAAGGTATCCTCCAAAGGCCGCTTTTGTCCGCGCTTTGAATGGCTTTATACTGGGGAGAAAAATCTAAATCAGCCCATTGTAATCAAGAGCCAAAACCTTATTTATCACAATTTTAATCGTGAATAGGGAGGAAGATAAAACTCTGAAGCTTTCTTTTCCCATGAACAGAAAAGAGAGAGAGAGACACAGAGAGAGAGAGAGAGAGAGAGAGAGAGAGAGAGAGAGAGAGAGAGAGATGCTTTTAGGCTGCAGAACAAGCTCGTCTTTGAGGCTTTAAAACAACCTGAGCTGAGTGTGTCTGAGAAGAAAAAGTACATTTAATATAATTCAAAAGGGACAGCCTCTTAAAAAAAGAGATGATCACCTTGTCCTCAGGTGTGTGTGTGCCCTCATGTGCGCAGGCGTGTGTGTGTGTGTGTGTATAGCATGTGTGTATATATATATATATATATATGTATGTGTGTGTATTATTGGGGTGCACATGAATCCTTATTAGATCTGTAACGTGTAATGTAGGTTATTTAAGCAGGCTGCCCCTCCTAGATTACACTGAGAGATTAATTCATAAGGATCAGAGCGATTATGCAAAACTAATTTGGACAGTCCAGGGATAATTATCTCCGTCACGGTTAATTAAACCCTTTCACCACTATGTTCTCCATTGTGACACCCCGATCACTTCTCTCCACGGAACTTCCTTCTTGGCCCCGAAAATGACGCGCAAGTGACCTTGTGTTTTATATCCAGTCTGGAAGAAAAAAAAAGACCAGTCAGATCTGGTGGTATTTACACTTCATGTTGAAATATTCCAAAAGAAATTTAGGTCTTTTTTTTTTTTTTTAAACAAAACAATTTATTGTTTCTCTGTGACTCTGACTCCAGGTCTGATACATTTTTATTGCATTTGTTTAGTTATTATTGAAATGATTACTATATTTATTAGTTTTTTTGTTATTCCAGAAAATGAAATTGATTTGATGAATGTGTGATCTAAATAAGCAAATGTTAAAAATTTAAAATTGATTTTATATGATAAAAGGTCAAATCCAGTGGCTGTCTGATCAAAACACAGAGAAGGTCGTCAAGTCTGTGAAAGAACTTGCGTTACGAGTTCTGTGGCTATTTCTTTCTCTTTCTTTGGCCTTTTTATTATATTTTTTTCTTGAGGAAAAGGGGAAGAAAGCTGAAAGAACTTTTTTTCAACTCTGGGAGCGTTTAGATGGTCGAGGAGGTTTTGTCTGGGAACAAAACGTGGGTTGGGAGGTTTTGTGAGAGTGTTGTTTGTTGAAGTGGAGCTCAGCAAAAGCGGCTGCTTTCCCTCATTGTGATGAAAGCAATCAGTGGTATTTGGAAAACTGTTAGCATTGTGCACTTCTTCTGTGTCCATTGTGGAGGATTTCTTTTCACAAGGTTTTTTTCAGCCGATCCAGCTGGCCGGAGTGAATAGCACTGCAATGTGTACACGCTTTGTCCCTCCAAGCCCTTCAAGTAGCCCACATTGAATAGAGTGAGTTGACACTGCATGACAGTGAAACAACATAATAAAAAATACATGAGCGCATGAATAGAAGCAGGCGCATAAATAAATAAAATGGGTGGCCAAAACTGGATAAACTGAATGACAAAACGGTGAAAGGGGAACAAAAAGATATTTAACACGCTAGATTAGCATTAGAATGCAATCTACAAGCCAGAACAATTGATGAATAGGTTTACCGGCCAAGAAAGAAATGGACTAAATGCCTTTTGAATAGATAGCCTATGTTTTTTTTTTTTGTTTTGTTTTTTTTTTTCTCTATAGACGCGAGCTGAATGGGAAAGGTGGAGATGCAACTATGGAAATAAGTGGGAGAAAACTTTTTCTTATAAAATGTTTTTCACTCTTGATTCCAAGACCTTCAGTATACCAGGGAGGGGGAATAAAATCTGATTCCCATGGATGAGATTTATAGTGGAAATAATTTTGTAATTCTTGTAAAATAGTTTATTAAACCAAACCAAATAAATACCCTCAGCAGAAGTCATGTCTTTAGGTTTCACCATTTGCCTCCACTTTTCTTGACTTTTGACTAATGCTCATAAAACAAGTTTAATAACTGTAATCAAAGAATAACTTTTTAATATACATATATAAGAATGTACACTCTGGCCCACTAATCTAAATATTCTCATACCACACAATGACTCTAGTGAAAGTCAGTTTATGTGTCTGAATAGATGGTGATTGAGTAGCTGTGTGGTGATAATTAATGGCCCTGAAGCTGTGAAGGTGCTGAACTATGAACACTTGGCAAAAAAAAAAAAAAAAAAACACTGAACAAACTCAAGGGGTTGTTTGGATTAAATAAAGACTTTAATATAATTTAACATGTTTTACTACAAACTAGCAAAGGTGTAGCAGCAGTCCTGTATCAGGCATTAGGAGAGTGTTGCTGGTGGAAAAATAGCAGACTTGGTGAGTGTACGCGCGAGATAAAGCCTGCTCCTCCTGCAAAAACAGCCTCTTTATTAATGTTACTTACAGACTAAACTGATGTCTATTTAATTCAGAAATAAAACAGGCTGTAAAAATCTGAAATGATAACAGTTAAGTAGTTTTAATTTGTTCAGATTGTTAAAATAATACAATATATGCAAAGAAAGAAACAGTATTTTAAATTCAAAGAAATGATTTAAACAGTTAACTCACCCAAAACCATGAATGTTTTAAGAATATTGTAGATAGAGAATGAATAAAAACATAGGAATTTAGTTGATATTATAATAAGAAATTTAATTCATAATAATACTTGCTTTGCTGTTGTGCTGTAACTATATTGACAGTTGATACAAAGGTGTCTGCACAAGATTTAAAGCCTCATGTTTTCATGAGCCCCCCCACCCCACCCGTCTGATGCCCTGATATCATTATGTCTTAGTGTTAAACCCTTTATGTGCCTGTAAGACATTTGTAGAAGTGAGATTAGGCAAATTAACATACATATGTATCACTGGTTCAACCATGTTGACCTTAGAGGGATGTACAATGGTTTCCTCATCCCTAATTCGCCCTGGGCTGCCCCACAAGCATGTGGATTATCACCTGGCTTCAATGGCTTGAGATGGATCATTTTAGTATTTTTTCTGACATGAATTATACATCAATATCATCTCTTTGAGGATATTTTCCTCTTATTTGTTTGCAGGAGTCTGCCTCCTGCTCACCTGGTTGTCATAGCATGCGTGTGCTGTGTCCAACGCTGGGAGATATACAGCCTGTGCTGGCTTCTCTGTGAGGAACCTCAAAGAGTCTGATCACTGACTTCTCCATCTCATTTTAGGCAAATCAAAGTGTGAAAAGTCTCTCCTGAAGCAATATCTGTATGATCAGGTTGGGTCAAGAATGTTTATGAAGGCTGTGTGCCATATTACCTGTAATCTCCAGAGTATGAAGTGCTGTATTTCTTACTTCTCTATGCTCCCAGGAGGGAAAAAATGCCAAAATTATCTTGCATTGCACCTTTTCCGCAACACCTCAACGTGGCAAATCAAAGCCTCAAAACCATACATGTCACTGTGCCCAAGGTCACCAAGAGAAATGAGAAATCTCTGTGTACTGTACAGTCCATCCCTATAAACATGCCACACAGCCTCTGAAGTCTGACTCTGCTTTTAAGAAGTCCAAGTTTGTTTAATAGTACATAATGCAATAAGTGGATGGACCCCTGCTGGAGTTCAGAGAGGGAACGCTTGAATTAGGTTGGGGGCAGGTAGGTGGAGGTGATGGGTTGGGGGGGGGGGGGGGGGCTCGGGTGGTGGGGGGTAGTTGAGGTAATGATGAGTTTTGCAGGTGAGACGAGTGCACTGCACTCACAGTGTCTGGCAGATCGTCTGGCATTAACACATCCATTATTATAGCAACAATATCACAGCCCTAATATTATTTAATTATTTATCACAGCACGTTAACATACATGATAGACCATTTTATATCAAAAGAAAAAGATGTCTTTAATTTTTACGCCCTGACTGAAGCTGATGAAATCCTACTTTGATAAACCCCTGTGTGGAAACATAGTGGCCTTGTTGCTGATATGAGAA